TGCCTCACTCGTGATTTCCATTTCACACCGCATGGGACAAATCATGGTAATTTTGAGCAAACTGCGCATTTCTTTTATTACAGAAGATCACTGTTTTTTACTTACCAAGAATACATACCCATACATTGCTATCGAATTGATTCTGACTCTAAAACCCTATAAGACAAAGAAGAACCACCCCTCAAGGGTTTCCCATGCTGTGATCTTTCCAGAAGCAGACTGCCACAGCTTTCTCCCACAACACCATCCTTCTGATAGGTCAACAACCCATCGGCCTAACCACTGTGCCACCAGGACTCCTTAAGACTATTTCTTTTTAAAAGCCCAAACCCACTGCTATGGAGTCTATTCCAGCTCATAGCAACGCTGGGAAACAGGGTAGAACTGTGCTTTAGTGTTTTCGAGACTGTCGATCTGTACCAGAACAGTCTCTTCTTGCTCCTCAGTCAGAATATATAGAAGGGGACTGGGAGGGGTGGGCAGAAATTAAAAGCTTCTGAAAGCTGCACAAGGATACGTCTACCCTCACTAGTGTTATTCTGTGGCTCTTGAGTTAAGCAAATCTCCAACCAAATTGTCAACTGTGAACACCTCTGCCTGCTTTTCATAGAAAGAACCCTATTGTTTCTGTGGGACACGTTTTCAGGAAGCGAGGTAGGGCTCTATTAGCCACTAAGAAAGTAGGCTCCGGCATGCTCAGCACTGCCTAGATGGCACAATTGTCTGCAGGAAAAGAGAGAGATGGTGGGTAGAGTGGTGTAACCAAGAAAAAGCTGACCTTAAAGCAATCACTAAGGGTGTTCCAAGTCTCTGACATCCATAAGACCTTTGCAGGTAGCTCTGTCTAAATAAGACAGGCTGGATGAACAATCTGGAGGAGAAAACAATGAGACTGACAGTTCCAGGGGGACATGGGAGAGGGGGCGGTGGGGGGAAAGGTAGTGGTGTTAACAAACCCAGGGACAAATCGGTGGTGAGAAGAGTGTAAGAGGCCTGGTGGGGCAAGATCAAGGGTAATGTTACCAAGAGGAATTACTGAAACCCAAATGAAGACTGAGCATGATAGTGGGAAAGAGGAAAGTCAAAGGAAATAAAGGAAAGAGCTAGGAGGCAAAGGGCATTTCTAGAGGTCTAAATAAAGTCATATACATATGTAAATATATTTATATATGAGGATGGAGAAATCGATCTATGTGCATATATTTATAGGTTTAGTATTACGGTAGCAGATGGACATTGGGCCTCCACTCAAGTACTCCTTCAATGCAAGAATACTTTGTTCTATTAAATTGGCATTCCATGACGTTCACCTTCCCGACACGATTGCTTAAGACAAAGAGGGTACATTAGCAAATGTGGTGAAGAAAGCTGATGGTGCCAGGCTATCAAAAGTTATAGCGTCTGGGGTCTTAAAGGCTTGAAGGTAAACAAGCGGCCATCTAGCTCGGAAGCAGCAAAGCCCATATGGAAGAAGCACACCAGTCTCTGTGACCACAAGGTGTCGAAGTGATGAGGAATCAGGCATCAAAGAACAGAAAACCATATCATTGTGAATGAGGGGGAGTGTGGGGTGGGGACCCAAAGCCTATCTGTAGGCAACTGGACATCCCCTTACGGAAGGGTCACGGGGAGGAGATGAGCCAGTCAGGGTACAGTGTGGCAACGATGAAACTCAACTTTCCTCTAGTTCCTAAATGCTTCTTCCCCACGCACTATCATGATCCCAATTCTACCTTACAAACCTGGCTAGACCAGAGGATGTACACTGGTACAGATAGGAACTGGAAACACAGGGAATCCAGGGCGGATGATCCCTTCAGGACCAGCGGTGTGAGTGGCGATACTGGGAGGGTGGGATAGAGAGGGGGAACCGATTATAAAGATCTACATATAACCTCCTCCCTAGGGGAAGGACAACAGAAAAGTGGGTGAAGTGAGACATCGGACAGTGTAAGATATGACAAAATAATAATAATTTATGAGTTATGAAGGGTTCATGTGGGAGAGGAGAGCAGGGAAGAAGGGGGGGGGGAATAAGGAGCTGATGTCAGGGTCTTAAGTGGAGAGCAAATGTTTTGAGAATGATGATGGTAACGAATGTACATACAATTGATGTATATGTGGATTCTGATAAGAGTTGTATGGGCCCCCAATAAAATGATTAAAAATAAATAAAATCCTGTGGAGAACAGTGCTACTCTGGTATACATGCAGTCATCATCAATAGCAATGGCCACTGGTTTCTGTTTCTGTCAAGTGCTTTCAGCAGTGTCCAACTGTGGAATGGGGCCAAACTGCAAGCCCAAACTCACTGCCATCAAATAGATTCTGATTCGTCGTCACCCTACAGGACAGGGTAGAACGGTCCCTATTGGTTTCTGGGAGTGTAGCTCTCCACAGGAAGAGAAGGCCCTGTCCTTCTCTGCAAAGTGGATGTTGGTTTCAAACCGCCTCTCTTGTCATGCGCAGCCCTGCCCTCATCCTACTGTGCCAAATGTGGGCACCCTCAAACGGCTGCAAAGGTCAAAGAAACAGACTCTCCTGTAACATCTCCAGAAAGGGGCACATTCCTGTCTATGCTTGGACTTGAGCCCCGTGAGATCCGGGTTGAATTTCTAATCTACAGAAGTGTAAGGACAAATTTCTATACTGACGTCCCCACATTTCTGGTAATTTGCTATGGCAGCAAGATGGAACTAAGACTGTGGGAGATGCATTGAGAGAATACAGGTGATCCGATTATAAAAGTTAAGTGATCCCTGGAGGTCTCACTGCAATCAATATGATGCCAGCTCACAGGGACCCAATAGAACAGGATAGAACTGCCCTGTGGGTTTCCAAAACTGTAACTGTTTATGGGAGTAGAAAGCCCTGTACTCCTCTCAAAGAGTAGCTCGTGGTTTCAAACTGCAGACCTGGTGGATCACAGCCCAACACCCTAGCACCCCGAATTAACAGATAATATATTTCTGTAAGAATTGTATTATGCTACCCAGTTTGCTTTCCAACCCTGAGAAACCAAGAAACATGGATTTCCCAAATAAATCGCCAGCTACATTTCTCTTAGGAGGAAGAAAAACAGGTAATGAATGTCTGGCAATGCTGGGACCACACACCCAATAGCATAATCGTCAGTGGCCAAGGTGTTCTAGTTTGCCGCATCCTCACCCATTTGCCCTTCCTGCTAGACCACTGGATGAGACCTCAAAGATCATCTGAATCTTCACTCGGACCCAGAGGTGGAAAGGGACTTGCAAAAGTTAGACAAAGTGGTGGCAGGGAGCTAGCAGAGCCTGGCTCCTCCCCTCAGTCAGACTCTAGTCATGGATGCCACCCATAGCTGAAAACCACCCAGGGAAGCCCCTGGCCAAACATTCAAGAAGGAAGCACTCCTAAAGGAGCTGGACCTGAGGCCCAGCATTGGATGGGCAAAGGGCTGGCAAGGTGCCTAGGCAGATGACTCACCCAAGATTGCCTGATCCTGACTCCACTTCCCCATCCTCCTCATGCAATACTTTCCAGCAAGACTACTCATGATCAGGGTGTGTCAAAAGGGCTGTGACTTTTTGTTTTTGTTATCATCTTGATACCAACCAATGTGAACAAACCACTTTCGGTGTCAGACTTCAGTTCCTTTTTCAGAAAATGGGGAAGCAATGGGCCAGCGTCCCAGGGTGGTAGGACCTCCGGGCATTACAAGTCTTAGCACCCAACCAAGCACTGAGCTGAACCCACCTGGTCCATGTGTCCTCAATGTAAAGGCTGCTAGTTGTCCTTGCACTGACTCTGACACATGATGATCACGTGTGTTTCAGAGTGGAACTGTACTCGCTCGGTTTTCAGTAACGGATCTCAAAGAAGTGTCTTGCCAGGCTCCTCGTCTGAGCAGCCTCAGTACACTGGAATGGTCAACCTCACGGTTATCAACCAGGAACATGAACTGTTTGCACCACCTATGGACTCCCAACGTACAGACTGCCAAGTGATTTTCACAGATGACTCGAAGACTAGCTAAGTTGCATTTATAGAATCATAAAAAGGAGATGCCTTGCACTTGTGCTTCGTTTTTGGGATCCCAGCGCTGATGACTACTGCTGCTTTCAATGCTCTCTGGTTCTGTCAGGAGAACTGGATAGAGACCACAAAGTATCTTCCTCTCTGGTGCCTGTACAAGATCCTAATGAGCTCAGTGAGACCAGTAGTTGGCCTTTAATACCTTGTGGCACCAATTATCATATTGTAGTGTGGAAAGAAATAAAAGTAAACTTAAAAACCCTACCCAGCCCTTTTCTGTTGAATTTATTCTGACTCAAGGTGATACCATGTGTTACCGACTAGAACAGCTTCTCTACAGGGTTTTCATGGTTGTAACCTTTGCAGGAGCAAAGTAGGAAGTCTTTCTTCTGGAGTGCCTCTGGGCGGTTTTGAACTAGCAGCCTTTTGATTAGTAGTAAATTGCTTGTGATACCCAAGAATGTAGCGAACAGTTAGTGCTTTACCACTTTAATCCTCCTGAGAGGCCAAGGAGACAGGTGGTGTCTACAAAGTGAGGACACTGGGACACAGCCAGGCTAGTGCAGCCAGAGAAAGTGATTTTCACCAGCACAGGTCTCACTCTGAGAGCTTCCCCTTCTTTTCCAATAAACTGATCCTACACACACACCGTTGAAAGGTGGGGCTGATGAGACAGGTAATTCCCGAACATGTTGTAGAAGGAAGGCAGCCAATCCATTTTTCTTCACCGTGGCAAGATCCAGCAGCCTTCTTGCCTGTGGAAAAATCAAACGTTACCATGTTTACAAAAAGCTGCTGAAAAGGCCTGGGCAGGTTATTTTACTAGTTACTACAACTATACACACACTGCTCTTCCATAAAAATAAAATGACAGGAAGCAATCAAATCCTAATATAAATGTAGAGAAGGTAACACCTAATTGGATGGTGGCTTGAACACACACATTCATTCAATTCAAACAGTACATTTGAGAGAGAGAGAAAAATCCCACAAAGCGACAAGGATAGAGAAATTAGGAGAAGTGATTTAGTTTCATTTAGTTGCCTAGCTTGATTGAAATGTCATCTCTGCTATGACTCGTAAGTGTGTACATACCGCTTGGACTTCTTCTTGAACCCTAGACTCGCTAACTCCATGCTTCATAAACCTCTTGGACTTAATACATGTAAACCGGAACTCCTAATCTCCCCCATGGACACAGCAAACCCACAGTCTTCCTCGCCTTTGCTAATTTCCAGTTAATCAGCTCCAATTTTTAGAATAGCCCTTGAGGCCTGTCCCCTTAACCCATCACCGAATCCTATTTTTCCACAAATCAAGGGGTTTCCACAACAACATTGCCCAACAGAAATACTAATACAGTATAAGGCAAATGCAAGTTACATGAATAATGTTGAATCTTCTAATAGCCAAAAAAGTCCACCCTGGTGACCCAATGTTTATGAGAAAAAGTGCACTCTAACGCATCTTCAATGTCTGATTTTTAAAAATTCCATCACCAGGCATGTCTTCCAAAGTTCCTTTAGGTGGATTTAAACCTCTAACCTATAGGATACCAACTTAGTAGATTAACTTTTTACCATCCATGGACTCAAATTTGTCTGATAGCTGCCTTAAAAAAATAAAATAAAACAACCAAGAAGGAAAACAGAGAAAGCAACAGTCTAGACCCCATATTGGCATACCACGCCTGGAGGACGAGCTCCCTGCATGGAGTTGCTAAAGCACAGAGAAGACAGTAAGGCCAAAACAGCTAAAGACATGTTGTCCCCGCACTGGTGCATACCACTATGGACAATATTGGGGACACAAGGCAGAGAGTTAGTCCAGGCTGAACACCCCGCAATGGGGTGAACCAAGAAGGGGACATAATAGGCCAGCAACAGGAACAAAGCAAAGCCACAAAGCCCCTGAAGAATCCCAAAAACAGACTTCAGGCTAGGAGTGGCAGCTCCCGAATTCCCCCAGGACCACTGAGGAGGCAGTCATAATGGTCAGCGGGCAGACCTAGATTTATGTATTTTTTTAAATCAATCTTTTGTTTTCTTTTTGTTCGGTCCCTGTTAGTGTTGGGTTGCCTACTTATACTTACATGGGCATGGGAATCAAGCTACTGGGGCAGAAGGAGGCAGGGGAAGAAAGCGGCGAGCAAGCAACACCATAGACAGAGGAACAACTAGGGGATTAAAATCAACAACGAGGAGGACACAGAGATCCTGGAGTGTTGGAGCAACAGCAGTCTGGCTGAGAGGACTTACTAAGAGGCGGAAGAAGGGTCAGCATGAAAGTAGGGCCGGAGAAATGATCTGTAAAAGAAAACAGAGCAATGAACTAGGAAGCAAAGCTATAGACAGAGGCATAAGCATAGATATGTACATATACATAGACATATGACAATACATAAAAATAGAAGTCTTGGCCTATATACATATATTTATATGGCAATGTACTGAGGTAGTGGATGGACTTTGGGCCTCTGCTCATGACTTCTCTCAATGCAAGAACACTTTGTTCTAACAACCTGGCATTCTGTGATGCTCACCCTCCTAGCACAATCACTGAAGACAAAATGGGTACATAAGCAAATGTGGTGAAGAAAGCAGATGGTCCCCAGCTATCAAAAGATATAGCATCTGGGGTCTTAAAAGTTTGAAGTTAAACAAACAGCCATCGAGCAGAGAAGCAACAAGCCGACATGGAAGGAGCACACCAGTCTGTGTGATCATGACGTGTCACCGGGACCAGGTGACACGTCATCAGAAGACATCAGAAGACCCATAACAAACAAACAACCATATTGTTGAGAATGAGGGTAGCTGGAGCAGAGACCTAAAGCCCATCTGTGGACAATGGGACATTCCCTCACAGAAGGGTCACAGGGAAGGGATGACAATCAGGGTGCAGTAAATCACCAATGAAACACAAAATACTCCTCTGGTTCCTTGAGGATTTCTCAACCCCCCACTATCATGACCCCAGTGCTGCCTTTCACTGACCAAAGCATGTGCACAGGTACAGGTAAGAGATAAGAGCTCAGGACACACAGAATCCAGGAACAGGAATGGGAGTAGTGATAGCAGACGGTTATGGGGAAGGTGGAGAAAGGAGGGGAGGAAGGGGGAACCAAACATGATGATACACACACACACACACACACACACATACAGGGACGAATAACAGAAACTGTGGGTGAAGGGAGACAGTGGTCGGTGTAAGATATGAAAATAGTAATTTATAATTTATCAAGGGCTCATGAGAAGGGGTGGGATGAAGCTGATACCAAGGGCTCAAAAGAAAATAAATGTCTAGAAAATAATGGCAACATATGTATAAATAGGCTTAAAACAATTGGTGTATGGATTGTTATAAGAGCTGTTAACAACCCCCAATAAAATGATCTTTGAATTTAAAAACAAAAAAGTGGGAGCAAACTAAGAGGAAAGAAGAAAGAGCGAAAGAGAGAGTGGAGCACATCCTGGCCCACCAAGCCCTGAGGACGATGTTCCCACTCAGAGCAGCCAAAGCGCAGAGAGGACCCTTATGCTGGCCCATCAGGAAACACAGCATCCCCTCACTGACCCACAGCACTACAAGGGACAGCACTGGAGACACAGTGCAGGAATTGTGCCTGGTCTGACCCCCAAACACTGGGGCAAACCTGAAAGGAGCACATCAGAGCAGCAAGAGTAGCAAGGCAATGAAGTCCCTGAGGAACCCCAAAAATAAACTTCGGGGGCAGGGTTTTGCACCTCATCAGACTCAATCAGAAAACACTCACAAGGGTCAACAGACAGACCTAGAACTATTTATAGGCTTTCTTTTGGGGGGGCCATGTCTATCTATATAAGATAGTCAGGATACACAATCCCGAGGAGAAAACATACCTATGGTTCTGGGGAGACATGGGAGAGGAGGAGGTGGGGAAAAAGGTGGGGGGAGCCAACAAACCCAGGGACAAGGGAACAAGTGATCTAAAATCGATGGCAAGGAGGGCGTAGAATGCTTGGTGGGGTTTGATCAAGGGCAATGTAGCCAAAAGGAATTACTGAGAGCCGAATGAATGTCAAACATGATAGTGGGGCAGGAGGAAAGTAAAAGGAAATAGAGGAAAGAACTAGGAGGCAAAGGACATTTATAGAGGTATAAATATAGGCATGTACATATGTACGTACATCCCTTCAACTAACTCAGAAGAAAGTGTGTTTTTTTAAAATACATAAAAAAGTATGTATTATAATTATGTATTAAAATGGATTTATTTAACAGCGCATATCCCAAATATTACCAGCTCCCTTTATAATCAACATAAAGGAATGAATGAGATCATTTAAAACACTCTCATACAAGTGTTTGACATTTAGCATTTACAGAATCTCAGTGTAGACTAGCCTTGCTTCATGTGCTCAGTAGCCATACTTGATGCACAGTGATACAGTCCCACCTCTTCTCATTCTTCAGCCTGGTCCAAGCCACCATCACAGCTCATCTGGAAAACTGCAAACAAAAGTCATTTAATGGGTCTCTCTGCTTCTGTGCCTGTAGCCACAGTCTACTCTCAACACCGCAGGCAGAACTGGGGCTTTAAACATGAAAAATCAGATCACGTCTCTCTTCTGGTACAAACATTCCAACTGCTCTTCTCTTTCTTAGAACAAAAGGCCGAGTCCACAGTAACAGCGAGGGACCAAAGCAGACTCAGATGCCTGACTGTTCTGTGAGTGACCATCTGGACCCCCGTTACTTCCCTAACCTCACCTCTTGCTCCGGTTCCCTTTGCCCATGTATCAAGTATGCAGGCCTCCTTGTCTCCACAATAAACCAGCCACCTCTGGGCCTTTGCCATAGCTGTCCCCTCTGCCTGTAACTTTCTTCCTTCACCTCCCCTCTGTCTTCGCTTACACTTCACTTTTGTGAGGTATAAAAGTGGACTCCCTGACCACGCCATTAAAAGCGGCAGTAAATCATTTGCAAACCCCTCAGCCAAATTGTAACTCCCAGACTCCACTCTATGTATTTTCTAGAACACTGATTGCATTCTAATACACCGCAACGTGCTTCCTTTTGCTTATTGTGTATCTCCCCCACTGGCATATCAGCATCTCCTGGGCAGGGCTGTTGTGTTCACTGCGGTATCCCTAGCACCTAGCTGAGGGATTTGCTGGACAAATGAGTGAATGCTAAATGACTTAGGAGACCCCAGAAAGGAGAGAAGGTCAGAACGGCTTATGAACAAGCGCTCTCGGTTCCCTCCCCTACTCCATTTCTGTCCCCACCCCCTACTCTGAGTGACTGACAATTGCTGTTGGCTCATCACAGCAAAAATCTGGAGATTTATATTCTACAACAGATAAAATAGACTGGGAAACACTGGGCACAATTAAGAAGGTAGGTGTCATCTCCAAAGCAGAGGGTTTAAATTAGGGGTCCTCAAACTTTTTAAACAGGGGGCCAGTTCACTGTCCCTCAGACCCGTTGGAGGGCCGGACTCTAGTTTAAAAAAAAACTATGAACAAATTCCTATGCACTCTGCACATATCTTATTTTGAAGTAAAAAAATGGGGCAAAAACACCTGGCGGGCCGGATAAATGTCCGCGGTGGGCCGCATGTGGCCCGCGGGCCGTAGTTTGAGGACCCCTGGTTTAAATGCTGAAAGTAAGCATTCAACTGCGTGACCGTTGCTGAAGACTCATTCATCAAAAGGAGTGCTGGTTACTGAGTGTCTTCACTATCATCATCACCACTGGGTTTTTTTCA